CGTCAAACTTGACAACGAAGCAAGTAAGTTGTTCAATTAAGTAATTTATCGATAAACAATTGTTTGTTCTGGTTGTTGTTTAAGTTTTTTGTGTTTATTTTGGTTAGTTGTTAATCCCAGTTTTTCACATTTCAGTATCTGTACTTACTTTACGTATTTTTTTTAAATAACACACCTAGAGCGCGCGTTTTCAGTTATTCGAGTTTTTGATGGAAATGATGAGGTTTTTCGAAAAATTACTGGAGTAAGAAAAGTTTTAGAATTGAATTGCCCACACAACGAAGCGAAGATTTTTGAAATCCATCAAGGGTTAACAAAATTCTGTTGAATATTAATGGTGCGCCAACCGGTATACCCCCTTTACAAATTCCAATTAAACTCTAGTTTACTGTCAAGTAACGCCCTAAATACATCCACAAAGTGTACCAAATTTGGTTGCTTCAAGTTCAAGAATAACGGAGATATTGCTTTTTTTCAAAATTTATAACTTCACTTTCAAAGCCTATAACTCCTTAGGGAAGCAACTTGGTATAGAGGTAAGTTGCGTTAAATTGCCATATTTTGGGACCCCCTACATGCCCCTGCTCTATGTCGGTTCTTATGTGAATCACCCTGTATAACTATGGATAACAGTTTGTAGACACTTCACTAATCAAAACTAACAACCAATTATGAGTGAATGTCTGTATTTTTCTCACAGCTTACTTATTCAAGGTACACACTTCAACGTCCAAAACATGCTGAATGATTCGCCACATTACCTCCCTTCCCGTGAAGAAAAAATTCCTGCGAAACCCGATAAAATTCGGATATGGGAAACCTGCTCCTGGTCCACTATTTTTCCTCGAGCAATCTACTGATAACACTTCAAAGTTCCGAGATATGAACGCATATCAGGCTTCAGCCGATCTATAGAAAAAATTACGTGTACGACCCTTTCTGGTTAAAACTTTGTGAGGACCTGTATACGGTTGCTCCAGTGGTTTCTTAAGAGGGGCGTAACCAAGGTCATTTCACAATGGCTGGAATGCAGACCTCTACTATGAAATGACTTTCGGCGTTATTAAAAGTCCGATTGCCAAATAGATTGAATCATCATAAAGACGAAAGTTCCGACTCGGGTTTGGATAGTTTTGAAGGCAAATTTCGTTCGATTAAGAAAGCTGCAGAAGATCAAAAAGATGTAAACATTGTAAAATTTTGTGTCTCAGAATAACGTTATATTCACTCATACCCTGCGTTATTATTTTGGGCAACCCACACTAGAATTTCAGCTCTTGAAATGTAACCATTTAGATGAAAGCCTTTTTTATATTCAATTTATGTAAACAATAGGCCTATATATCTTGTATAGATAATATCTTCTCTAAATTAGATGGTAGAAAACTTGAATATCGTAGTTCAGGTACTCTCTGCTAGACGGAGGTACCGTCGCAGCAGTCGGCTCTAAAAGCATCTAATCTAGTACGTTCTGCGCGAACTGGATGATGTACCATTAGATGGAGCTCAAAATGTGAAAAGTTTGTTATTTGTATTTTTTGTTCAAGAATGCCTTTGCACGTTCAAGGTTGTCGGAGGCAATAGCAAACATTTATCACTCATTTTTTAATTCACGAATGGCGGTAAATTCGAATTTGTTAGTAATAGTTGTACTGGATGTGCTTCTAACGAGCGCATCACGGACGTGAGATCATGAAAAAAGTTTATAGAAATCGAATTGGAATGAATCACAAAATTTAATGTCTCAACAATATATGCTTCCATTTTTGGCGATTGTGGAATAAACTGGTCAGCGGATATCAATATATAAGCTGCTCATAAATTTGATTGAAATTCACGAACCCGGACCAGTGTTGTCACCTTAGTGTATTTTACCCTAGAACTGAAGCTAAATGGATCTGTTTGAGTGGAATTTCATATTTCATTATGTCGATTTACAAAATCAAACTATATAATTCACTGTCGGAAATCATTTTCTTGTCAGAGCTATGTACAATTTTCGAAATTGTTATTATTGAAATTATACTGATATTTATCACATGAAAAACGCGGAACATTGCGTCCGAACATTGATCCGACCTTGATTAACCCTTAAAAATATACACCTCAACGTTCAAAACATACTGAGTGATCACGTCGGGTCACCAATTATGGATAACAGTTGTATTAGACACTTTACTAATAAATACTAACAACCAATTATGAGTGAATGTCTGTATTTTTCTCCAAACTCTGACAAGTCCCGTCAACAGCTTACTTATACAAGGTACACACCTCAACGTTCAAAACATACTGAATGATTCGCCACATTACCATCAGGTCCAGGTAGATTTTTCTCCATTGAGTCCATTGAACCATTGAGTCGATATTTACTCTCTTTATTATTAATTCATACTCTCAGGGAAGTGACGACGAAAAATATTCGTCAATTCTCTAGGAACCAATGCACACTAAGGAGACCATCATGCATGAACCAAGTTCCATTCTAAGTGAGAATGAGAAGGTATGACCTAGGTCTGGACTCTGAATGCTCCTTTCGCTAATGATATTAATTGAAAACTCCATTATAGTCGTCACTGAATGGATTCGGAGTTGCTTCGAAGATCACAAAAAACAATAAGATGACGATGGACGAACACCAGGTCAAACTGCCTATATTCTATAAAGTTGGATAGGACCCAGCTCATCTACCTATACACCAAAAGGATATATCTAGGTTTCTTTGGATCAGTACACCCTCAGGTGACCATGATCCAAGTTCCATTCTAAGTAAGAATGACAAGGAATGACCTATAGGTCGGACTCTGAATGCTCCATTCTCTCTTCATTGAGAACTCCACTATAGTCATCACTGGAATTAAAGTCGCTTTGGAGGTTTTAAAACAATAAGATGACGATCGACGAATAATCACCAGGTCTGACTGCTGGTATCCTATAAATTGGATAGTACCCAGCTCATTCATACGCCATAAGGATATCTCTATAGGTTTCTAGGGATCAGTACACCCTGAGGTGACCATGATCCCAGTTCCATTCAAAGAAAGAATGGCAAGGAATCGCGTAGGCCGGACTCTCAATGCTCCATTCGCTAATGATATTCATTGACCTTTCGCTAATGATATCAATTGAAAACATCACTAAAGGAGTATGGTCATCACTGAGTGGTATTGAAGTCACTTTGAGGCTCACAGAACGACAACATGAGGTGATGATGGGCAAAGAATCACCAGGTCTGACTGCTGACATCCAGTAGTTCGATAAAATTCCGTTCACCAACCTACCACCAAATAGATATCATTATGGGTGAACCAACTTGCATACAAAATTTGGTGAGAGTATACAAAGATTCTCTCGTGAGTTCAATAATGAACAGAGAGTAATACAAAAGACCACATCGTTCGTAGTGTTTAGTAGACAGGGACCTGAAAAACCTCATAACCTTATTTGTTCTTTCCTTCAGGTTTGCTGTCAAAAGTACTCGAAATATATAACTGCTTCCAGTTCCAACTCAGCACAAACTATCATTAGCATTTCGAGTGTAATATTCTCAAAGGAAGTTGATCTATAGGGATAAATACTGAGAGAATCATCAACGGTATTCCTTTGATGACTATAATGATGTGATTTATTATAATATCACAAACAATAGATACTATCGAACCATCCCAGCGAGCACAAAAACATCTCAGAGATGTTAAAAGTACGAGATTTCGAGGCATTGAACCTCCACTGCGATGTTCTGTTCACACATGAATAGAACTATTATAGAACAGCCAATGTCCGCCGCAGGCGGCAATTATCGAGATGTCCTTGATATGTCACAAAACTACCTTCTCCCTAGTTCTTTTTAAAGCCTTTTCATGGACACAACAAAACATTTTCAACGCGTCTTGCACATAAATCGCTGTAAAAAACCATTTTCGAGGTACTTTTCTGAAGCCTTTTGTCAAAATGAACTTTTGCATTAGGATTCCATGTCCCTTGAATGAAAAAATGCATTAAAAATAGATTGAACATGAAAATATTTTCTTGATATGAAATTACCTTCTTAATCGGTTTCTGAGTAGTGCTTACTACACACAGACATATAATTGGAAATATGTTCTCCACAATGCATAATTTTGCAACTGCGGAGAAGCTGTGTATTGATAAATTCGTACTTTTATATATTGATTACACTGAGGCACCGAATAACACATCTTGCATCTGATGGTCATTATAACAAACTAAATAATTCTTCTAACACAATAAACTTCACCAAATTCCTTTCTGTTCGTTAGCAGCGTGATGTAAGCGTGACACGCTGCAAACGCGAATGCCAATTGCGAACAAGAAGAACAAAACCGAAAACGAATCAGGCTTTATCGTATTGTGACGTTGTAGTGGGGCAAACAAAGAAAGGGCACAGAAGAACAAAAATAATACTTTCAATAGACCTCTTTGGGAAGTGCATATTACGCCTCAAAAAAAAATCCTCATGCCTACATTTCTAAAACATCCCAAAAAAACATCCCAGGGATACCTCTCAGTAGGCAAACAAAGAAATACCACAGAAGAACAAAAACAATACTTCAATATCCTTCAAAGACCTCTTTGGTCAGTGCATATTACGTCTCAAAATAACATCTTCATGCCAACATTTTCAAAACATCCCAAAACATCCCAGGGATGTTTGTACTCGCTGGGATTCTCTATACTAGAACCTCGCGTAAATCTGAAACACCCTGATGTATAACAAATCAACTTCTCATTTAATTATAGAGAAGACAGTATGTGTCGCCTACTTCAATTTCATTATCATATCACCCCCTCCTCGCAGGCACCTCCTTTTTTTTAATAAACAAGATTTATCACTCTATCGCGGGTTGCCTAAGCCAGGAAGGAGCGGCAACGTGTAAATAATACTCGCGATACGATTTCATATGGCCACGCGATATCCTCGCTCTGTATCGCGCCAGAAACGGAAGTTACACTTCCGCATAGGGGTCCTCTTTTGGCATACTGACGCAGATATTTGATCTAGGGTGCTGTGCCTTCTGCTCTGCATAGATTTGCGTTCTTCGGGGATGCTGAAGCGTCTTGTGGTGTCTTCTGTCGTAGTAGGCGGGTTGAGTAGTGTGGCGGTGATGTTCAGGTGTTTTGCGAAGAGAGCGAGAGTTTTGAAATAGTTGAATTGTTTTGATTTGTGGTGGATTCAATGGTTATAAATTTTATTGAAATATCGTTTGTAGTGTGATGTTTTGTAAAGTGAAAAAGGTGAGTTTTGTTGTCTTTTTCTTCAAGTCTCTTATACAGTCTGTCCAAGATAAGGTTGAACAGCATGGGGATCTCGAAAACGGTAAGAGATACGAAATCGGTTAAATGGGGAAAAAGTTGCGCATTCGGAGGCTCATATATCAAGAGCCTTCGAAAATTTTGAAAATTATTTTTAGTTTTTGAGTTATATCGAAAAAAGTGAATTTTTTGAATTTCTATTTTATTTTTTTTTTCTCCGTTCATGCGACGTTTCGTATTCGTGGAACCATCATCAACTTTTGTTTTTTAAATACGGTCCTGATAATTTTTTCACAGATTCTAGAAGGTTTTTTTATTCTGAATTCAACCATGTATTATACAAGGTGGTTCATTTGTGTTTCGACCTATTTCCATCCATCATCAATGTATTTTCGAAACTCCAAAGGAAAAATGCCATCAGTTCCACTTATTTTGAAGGAAAATTAGTCAACACACTAATAACTCATCAACTGGTTTCAATCAACAACCCATTTCATTTTGCGGAAACAAAAATTCCATCCATACAAATTCAGAATATGTCAAGCGCTAAAACCAGGATATGACGAAAGGCGCAAGACATCCTGTGAGTGGTATACTAGGAAATGTTAAAATTTTGCAGATTTCTTTCGAACCATCATCTGGACTGATGAAAGCATGGTCACTAATCATGGTAGCTTCGATAGAAAAAATACACATTATTGTTCACGAGAAAATGAACATTTATACATTACAGCGAGACACCAACACCGTTTCGGCTTTAATATGTGGGTTGCAATATTTGGTACACGAATTATTGTTCCTTCTATTTACCATGAAACACAGACTTCCGAACGTTATAGAAATTCGCTTGAGAATCATCTTGAGGAAGCTCTGGATGATTTACCGATTGCGGAAGTTCAGAACTCTGTTGGTTTCAACAAGATGGCGCTCCGGTACATAATTCCAGAGAAGTCCGTGCGTTTTTATCCCTTGGCCGGCGCGGTCGCCTGATTTAACACAGCTGGATTTTTTCTTAGGGGATATATCGAACTTTGTACACGCAAATAACTTTGAGGATGAAGAAGAACTAAGGGACAGTGTCTTCGAAGCATTCAATAGAATAACCCCAGAAATGCTTAGCAATGTCTTAGAAACAACTGTGAGAAGAGGATATCTTTGTTCAGAAAATAATGGTTATCATTTTGAACATTAAGTTAAGTTGTTAAAGTAATTCGTGTAAGAATTCATCAACAATTTTAAACGCTGCATTGATCGAATAATGTAGTGAAATATTTTTTATTCACTTTTCAGTATTGAATAACTAATCCATCAAGTTTGACACTAAATGATAAGAAATAAGTGGAACTGATGGCTTTTTTTCTTTTGGAAGTTCGAAAAAACATTGATGATGGATAGAAATAGGTCGAAACACATTCGAATCACCTTGTATAGTACATTGTTGAATTCAGAATAAAAAAACCTTTCAGAATCTGTGAAAAAATTATCAGGACCGTATTCAAAAAACAAAAGTTGATGATGGTTCCACGAATACGAAACGTCGCATAAAAAAAAACGGTATCACCACGTTAAACCTCATCAAAAGTTGCAATGAAAAAGTATTTTCAGTTTTTCTGTATCTCTGATAATAACGGAGAAAAAAAATAAAATAGAAATTCCAAAAATTCACTTTTTTCTGTGACGGGAAAAAAGTTTGGCATTTCATCTCTGTTGGCAGGTTATAAAATGTCACTTTTCATAAATTACTTTTTTCCCGTGGGAAAAAAGTGAGTACTTTTTTCCCGGATATATATCACATATACCGGGTGACACAGGGTATCGGGCCACCCCTGTAACTACTGCTTTCGTCATCGGATTTTTCTGAAATTCGGTACAGTTATATAAGCAATTATCTCGGATTTGATCACATTACAATCCAATATGGCGGACTTCCGGTATTTCAGGAAATGCCAGCAACTTTGTTTTTTCAAATGAAACACCCTGTATATTTTTACATATTCAAGTTCAACAGGTCGAAACAAGTGCAATCTTTATTTCAAATGTAATTTTTTCGAAAAAAAATTAAATTAAAATTGTTTTTTCATTTTACCTCGTGGATAAATGAGATGTGGTCAAGACTATTCACAATGAGTCACAAATAACAGAAGAACATAAATTTTTCTGAAAAATTATTTTTTGTGTCACTTATCCAGGAATTAATTCAGCCACATCACTTTTTGATCAAAAATAATTTATTTTCAAATGGAACCCCTATGGGCCACCTACCCGTTTCTCTAGAACATACATTAAGGAACAAAATGAAATATCATTTTTGTTTTTCGGTGCAGTAACAAATTGTATACATTCAAAAATCAACAACTAGTTTATGAATTTCCTTGCAGTTAGAATAATTTTTCAACTAGGGAGGCTGTCGAATAAATGACATTTGACATCAAGATTGCACTTATTTTGACCTGTTAAACTTGAATATGTAAAAATATACAGGGTGTTCCATTTGAAAAAACAAAATTGCTGGCATTTCCAGAAAAACCGGAAGTCCGCCATATTGGATTGTGATGTGATCAAATCCGAAATAGTTGCTTATATAACTGTACCGAATTTCAGAAAAATCCGTTGACGAATGCAGAAGTTACAGGGGTGGCCCGATAGCCTGTGTCACCCGGTATATACTCTGTTAATGGCTTTTATTGTGCTATAGTTCCGATAAAATGAGTCAATAATACCGTCTCCGAGAAAGAACTGCAAGTCCTTTTATCTTCCATTCGACTTCGCATTTTCGTATATTACTAAACAACTACTGAATTCGCAATTTTTTAAAATCAAATCACAGAATTGAACTGACAGAAGTGACATCAGATATTTGATAACTTCAAAAGAATGATGAAGATGCCTATAAAACGCAGGTGTCCCTACTGTTAAAAACTTGAAATTTCACGTCGATAATTTTCAGATTTCGAAATACTGTGATATCTTCTCAATATTGATTCGTCCTTCCTTCTATCACAGAAAAAAATAGTGTATTATACACGGGAAAAATATTAGATTTTAGCTCACGGTTTTTTGTCTCCCTCCGCTACGCGTCGGGAGACAACACAACCTGGAGCTAAAATCTACAACTTTTTTCCCTTGTATAATAAATAACTATTTTTCGATATAACTCAAAAACTAAAAATAATTTTCAAAATTTTCGAAGGCTCTTGATATGAGCCTCCGAATGCGCAACTTTTTCCCCATTTAAGCGACTTCGTATCTCCTACCGTTTCCGAGATCCCCATGCTGTTCAACCTTATCTTGGACAGACTGTATACAGTGTGTGCGATTTCAACCTGTAACACCTTCCAACCCGTCAACCGAATTACAAAAACAAAAATTCCATAATATAGTACTCAACGAGCTCTATTCGAAAATATGGACAAATATAAAAAATTCACATTTTCAAGGCCTACGTTGAAAGGGTCAAAATTTCAAAAAAGATTATTAGGCATTTTTTTTAAAAAACAGTGACTATCCTATTCGATTAAGGCAAAATCTCATATAGGGTGTTAGTTATTCCGTGGCATATTTCGATATTTTAGATTTTTCGATTCACCCTGTATCAAAATCTAAGGAGTTGATATAACTGTTGAAGTAGTCATTCAATATAGAGGAACATATCGAATACTTGGATACGAAGTTTCATCGTAGTAACTTCTACAGGAAGATCTTTCTAGGTAAACCAAAAATCAATAAAACTGAAGTTGAGGTTCACCATTTTGAAAACTCAAGTAAACCGATTTTCACACACTTCAACACACAGTAACTTTGAAAATCGCCTCGATTGATAAGGAAATGTCGAATATATCACAAATGAAATGACATACAAATATACTCCCCAAAGACTCAAGGAGATTTACTGATACTTTATGTGATTCATGATACATATACAGATTTTGGCGAAATGGGAATGAAATTTGAGATGACAATGAAAATTATTATGTATAGAGAATATTCCTTCGAATTAGCATATGACCAGGGAAAAAGATATCGATCATAAAAAAATTGTCTACTACAATTTTATTAATTTTTGGTTGACCTATAGCTAGAGAGGTCTTCCTGTAGAAGCTACAACTATGAAACTTCGTATCTAAGTACTCGATGTGTTCCTTCATTAAATAACGCTTTACTAGTTATATCAACTCTTTAGATTTTGATACAGGGTGAATCGAAAAAACAAAAATATCAAAATATGTTACTGAACAACTAATAAACACATACTGTATATGGTCCAGCAGTCCAGCGTGTTAGAGAAGCAATTCTCTATTATAGTGGGGTTTTTGAAATACTATAGTTCCTCATTTGATTGTTGGATTCAACAATTATTATTGAGTTGTTGATAATATCGTTTGTTCAATACTGAGTAATTTTTTGCATGCGCTGAAATAGGTGAGTTTTGTTTTATTTCCCTTCAACTCTTTTATATCATGAGTACAGTGTGTTTGATAAATAATACTCCTTATAATTTGATTAATATAGATAATATCGAGACGAGCGTCAATTTGAGTAAATAGTTCAAATGAACATACAGTAGGCAACAGAAAAAATTCGCATGCTGAAAGGCATGACACTGTCCAAAAACGATAAGTTCCTGAAAAAATGTTCATATTGAAATAAAGAGGGAGGCCATTTCTACTTAATAGTGAGATACGTTGTTGTACAAGGTGTTTCACGGTGGATGAAACATTCGAACCTCAATTAGAACTATCTTCAGAACAGAATGACAAATCAATCCGAAAATTCTATTTGTGAATGTGGATAATCAAACATGCTGTATCTGTCTAAAAAAGTTCCATCAATGCAGTGTTGCCGCTTATATCCGAAAGTAGTAGCAACTTTGTTGTTTCAAATGGGACACCCCCCGCATATATCATATCATTTTTGAAATCCTAATAGGACTGTGTTCGCGATAAAAATTATTTTTTTCAATTTTTTGTGCGAAATCCGAATAG